CGAATGTCTTCAGCGTATATTATTTATATAACTTTCGACTTTTTTGGGGGGATTGGTGTTATACCTTCATAGATTAATTTATCACAAAGTCTGTAATTTCTGTGTATCGTTCAAATAATTTTTCTTGGTCGTGTTTTCCTTCCAATAATGACGGTGATAAACAATTTTATTGGTATGATTGCCTTGCTTCGCTAACAAATTGGTTATTATTGAGCTTGTTATTGGTAATATTGGGTTGTTTATTGTATTGCCATTTTTGTTCTCTTTCTATTAAATATATTGTTTTTTTCACGGTATTTTTTATGATGATTGTTATTATTTTATGGTGATTGTTTGATTCTTAATGATTGGTATTTTCTCACGGAGATTCTATTTCTTATCGTTGTTTTGTATTTATCGTTATTTTTTATTTGTTTCTAGTTGAAGCGTGGTTTGCGATCGTTCAGTTTTGTATTGGAATTTATATCTGTGTCACACTCTTTATTGAGTTATTTTTCCATTTTCCTTTTCTGATTTATTCCCCTTCTTGAGCCCTCCCGTCCTCTCCTTCCCGGTCACTCTCCACCCGTACTGAGCCTCTGGGTGGCCTCTAGCCATTAGCTTTATTGTTTCTACCAAGTTTTATCGTACAAATGCTTTTCATTCCTGTCCATTTCTCGAGTTGATTAAGTCATTTGCTTCGGGTGGCCTCGCTATAAAATTCTTCATTTCTACCGTTTTATTGCTCGTTGATTACGCAGCGCCTTCGGTTTTTGAGTTTATGAACCCGTCTCCTCTCCCCCGCAGTCCCCCCAGCGAGCCCCCGGGTGGCGCGTCCCTCGGCGTGTGTTGGTGCAGCGGCTCCGCCTCCCCACCTGTCAACACGGAGTCGCCTGCCGCCTGCCCCTCGCCACCAGGAGCCGCCCCTGGCCCTTGGGGACTGCCCCAGGCGCCCTTTGGACCGTAGACGGGCCCTCCCTCCCGCGGGGCGTCACGCCACTCCTGTAGGACCTCCGGCGGGACAACAAGTCGCAGGAGGTACCAACGCGAAATGCGGCGCCCGTCCTTCTGCTGCGACCAACATGGGAGCGGCGAGACGCAGTGCCAGCCCCAGGTGAGGGTGCGCGGGGTGTCTCGAAGCTCCACTGTGAATCTAATGGCAACTTCGAATGTCATGGGGGCCAGTTAGGTGTCAAAGGGTGTCTAGGGTTCCATAGGGTGGCTTTCTGGCTTTTTCAATGCAAATATCCAGCATTTTCTTTTTATTTGTTTTCCTTGCCTTTCCACTGCAGTAAACATGTTCCCGAGATCCTTTATTAGAGTTGTTATCTCCCAAGTGCAGTAACGATGATAGCAGTAAGATAAATTATTAAGTAATGAGACTGATGGAGAGGAGTACGAAAGACGAAGGATGTCATTTCTTTGGCCTCCCCAATTCCCCTATTCCTCCCCCGTTCTTTGGCTCCTCACCCATACGCATACCTTTCCTTCTCCCTTTCCCTCCCTTCCCCCCTTCCTCCCTTTTTATTCCACCACTAACCCCCCCTTTCTCTCCCCCAGGAGGGCGGCGAGAGCACCCTGGCGCGTGTACGTCGCTTCCTGGCCGTGTCGATGGGCGCGCGGGCGGCCGGTCGCTCTCCAACCACCCGCTGCAAGCACCGCGCCCTCCCCCCGGACCCCCTGCACGCCCCCGCCCACGCCGTGCACTCGCTCCTGGCCGAGATGAAGGAGGCCGGCGTGGGCGTGCAGGGCGTGCTCGGGCGTCCCCTGGAAGACGTCATGGCGGCGCACGGAGAGGACGCTAGTGGGCACGGCGTGCCCGCCCTCGTGCACCTGCTCTGCTGCTACCTGCTCACCCACGGTAGGGATGCCTGCTTGGCTTGCCTGGGCGGTGTGTGTGTGTGTGTGTGTGTGTGTGTGTGTGTGTGTGTGTGTGTGTGTGTGTGTGTGTGTGTGTGTGTGTGTGTGTGTGTGTGTGTGCGTGCGTGCGTGTGTGTGTCTGTGTGTGAATGAGAGAGAGAGAGAGAGAGAGAGAGAGAGAAAGAGGAAAGAAAGAAAGAAAGAAAGAAAGAAAGAAAGAAGAGAAGAGAGAGAGAGAGAGAGAGAGAGAGAGAGAGAGAGAGAGAGAGAGAGAGAGAGAGAGAGAGAGAGAGAGAGAGAGAGAGAGAGAGAGAGAGAGAGAGAGAGAGAGAGAGAGAGAGAGAGAGAGAGAGAGAGAGATAAGGGGGGGGTAGAATGTGTATGTGCATGTGTGCTCTTACATGTGCATGTACATATGTTTGCATTTGCAAGTGAGCGAGTGGGAGTGTAAGCGCGTGTATTTACCTGCTGATTCACGGTGCACTCTTGAACGATGCGGTTTAAGCACACATTCATCTGCTGAATCACAGCACATTTTTTTCTTTTCCTTTTTTTAGCAAGGTGACCTCAGACGTTTACGCATTTTATGTAAAAGTTTTAAAAGGCTTAAAAAAATTCCTTTACAGTGACAAACATAAAAATAATGTATCTAAATGCATATAAGCATAGTCAGTGCTGTAATACTAAAGAATAAATAGATGAATAGGAAAATGCTAGAATAAACAAGTAAGAAAAATAGTGTTGAATAAAAAAAGGAAAAATGGTGTATCTATTTAAAGAAACAAATGCAATAGTGAAGACGATGTGTTAGCGATATATTGGTGATGTATAAGTGATGTAATAGTGATGTATTAATAGCATATTGTTAATGTTAATAACCAATTCATTTAGCAATGTATCAGTGATGTATTAATGAAGCAAGACCGTATTGATTGATTCACTGGCGGCTTATTAAGGACATACTGACGATGTATGAAAAGACATATTGGTGAATCTATTAATATCTTAGGAAAGTATTCATTGATAATGAAGTGGCACATCGACGATTTGTTAAGAACATCTTGATGATGTATTAAAGACCTGTTGGCAATGTATTAATGACCCAGTTGGTGTATCAATTGCCTATTAACAGTGTTAAAATGACCAACCGACAATACATTGATAATTTGATCTATTGGCAGTGTATTACCAAAGATGTATTAATGACCGACTGATGTATGAACTTCTATCCGTTGGCGATGTATGAACGACCAATCCGCGATGTAATTAATAACTTGATCTATTGGCAACGTAACGCCGATGATGTACCAGTAAACCGTGGACGATACGTCAATGACCAGTTGAGGATGGAATCAAGACCTGTTGACGAATGGCCGTATTCAGTGCCACAGATATCGAAAAGGCATGGGTGCGGATGAATATCTTTATCAACGATCTGTAAACACCCTACTTACAATATATCAATGACCTACCGACTGTGTATTTGTATCGACGACGTATCAAGACACTAACGACCTACTTGACCATAGTAAGAGTGATGTAACGACCTTCTTTCCTCAGGCGTGGACTACGACACCCTGGTGAGCGAGGACTGGTGCGCCGAGGAGGTGAGGACACGCCTCCTCCTCGAACGCGGCGCCGCTGGACTCCCCTCGGACGCCCCTGAGCCCCCGCCAGGTGAGGGTGGAGGGGGACGGGCGGGGTTGAAGGAGTGGGAGGTGGTGGTGAGGAGGAGGAGGGGGAGGAGGAGGGGAGGGGAAGGTGATGGGGGAATGTGGGGAAGGGGGGGGAGGGGGAGATGGTGGTGAGGAGGAGGGGGGGGGGAGGGGAGGGGGAGGGGGAGGAGAGAGGAGGAGGAGAAGAAGGAGGAAGAGGAGAAGGATGATCTTGTTGGTGAGGATGGTAGTGATGATGAGGATGGGGAGGAAGATGGGTAAGAGGAAGAAGAGGAGTGGGAGTAGGATGATGATGAACATTATTATCAGATTAATAGATTGGTAGATAGGTAGAGAGAGAGAGAGAGAGAGAGAGAGAGAGAGAGAGAGAGAGAGAGAGAGAGAGAGAGAGAGAGAGAGAGAGGAGAGAGAGGAGAGGAGAGAGAAGAGGAGAGAGAGAGAGAGAGAGAGAGAGAGAGAAGAGAGAGAGAGAGAGAGAGAGAGAAACTGACAGATAGAGCGAGGCCCGGAATGAAAAATCAAGTATCTTGCCACTACTCTCTTACAAATACTCTGCCAGGTCTCATTCAGAAGTTATTTTAGGAAACGCCACAATTAAGGTTTCTTGAGTACGAGACTTCAACTTGGGCGTGCAGTGATAAAAATAAAGGTGTAGTTTCAGAGTGGTTACATAATTGGTTCAGGCTCCCTATTTTAGATTTATGTTTTTCTATCTCAGCTCTTTCCATATTCTGAATTACATAGCGTCTGCGCTTTAAATACAAGTGTACGCCGTGTAAAGATACTCTTTGTTTATTTTGATATTTAAACCGTGTGTTGCTTAATATATGCTTCACTGAATAACTTATTATTAGCTTATTAGTTAAAGTTCCTCGGAAAATCACACAGTCATGCTCGGATCTAAAAATAACTACATGTCGAATCTGGCAACCATGCGGTACCATGCGATGACAAAAAACAAAAATAAAAGGCGGGATATACCGGCACCAAAAACCTTATCCTTATGGCACCCAAGAATAAAAACACTACGAAGTGATTTTAGGTCAAGAACATATCTGATAAGCTTGGCACGACAGGGTGTCTCTGCTTGCATGATGGCACTGTGCTCGCTATATTAGCAGACGGGTATTTTTGGCACCTTTTGAAGTCATGTTCTTGGAAGCTTGATGAATTGACTCAACTTGATTCTTGCATGTCACGTTGGCTTTTAACAGATACTGGCATATCAAGAGTTCGTCAGGGCTTTTCCTACAGTAGGCTGTGATATGAATATCTTCTCTTTTTCATGATTAATAAGTTATTGGTGGTTTGTAAGTTGTAATAATCCGTGCCTGGGTTGTCTTGTTAGTGTAGTTTTCTTGTAGTGATTTAAAGATCAGGCCAAGCGGGGGAAAATAGCCAAAATTAAGAAATGAACATATTTAATCTAGAGAGAGAGAGAGAGAGAGAGAGAGAGAGAGAGAGAGAGAGAGAGAGAGAGAGAGAGAGAGAGAGAGAGAGAGAGAGAGAGAAGAGAGAGAGAGAGAGAGAGAGAGAGAGAGAGAGAGAGATCCCACGCCAGATCAATCCTGCACAGCAACCAACTACGTGCAGTATCTTAGCTAATTAAAAACTAAATGGGTATACTAATTACTACACACAACTAGGCGACAACGAAAGAAAAACAACCTGTGACGCCTATAATAAAACGCAAGGCATTATACACAGACAACGTGATAATAATAGGATTGGAACACATACTGCAGAAATAGTCAGATAAGGAGATTACGTTGTGTATAAAAGGAATACTTAAATTACCACGACACCGAATGCGATCCGATGCCACAAAAACACGTAGTCGCCTCGCTCCTTCTGCTACCTACTGCACGTTCACTTCCACACCTATGAACGGCCACTCGTAACCATACACATTTTGGCGCATTTATCTGATTGAACTATTTGCCGTTGACCACTGACCATTGACCATTTATCATTCTTTCACCATTTATCACTAAGCATTCACCACTAATCTTTTACCATTAGTATTGATCATTGACTATTCACCACTTGCCATTCATCACGAGCTATTCATCACTAACCATTGACCATTATCCATTCATCACGAGCTATTCATCACTAACCATTGACCATTATCCATTCAACATTCACCATTAATCATTGACCATTAACTATTGACCATTGACCTTTAATCACTGACCATTAATCATTGACCATTAACCCTTGACCATTGACCTTTAATCACAGACCATTAATCATTAATCATTGACCATTAACCATTGACCATTAATCATTGGCCATTAATCATTAATCATTAACCATTGATCATTAATCATTGACCATTAACCATTGACCATTAACCATTGACCATTAATCATTAACCATTGACCATTAATCATTAACCATTAACCATTGCCCATTGACCATTCATACCCATTTACCCTCCCCCCCCCTAGGCTCAGACGCGGCCGTGGCGACTGGCCTTCTGCGGCTGTTCCTGGACGAGCTGCCCCACGCGCTCATCCCACCGTCAGCTGCTACCAAGATCCTGCAGCTCCTTACGGGTTAGTCTCTTGAGGATCTCCTTCGCCGGGGTCCTCGTGGCGTTGCTGTGTCCTAATTTTTTTTTCTTTTTTTTTTAAGAGATTCGGTTCATTTATTTTCGTGTTCGTTTTGTTTTGGTTGTTCTGTTGTGTTTTGGATTTAATTTTCTGTTCCTGTTTTTTTGTTTTTTGGTAGATTTACTTTTATCCGGTTTTACCCGTTTTCTTTCTCTTGATTATTTTTTCATCCCTTTCCATTTTTTAAAAATTCTTCGTTTCACATTTGATTTTCGGGTGTATTCTATTTTTCATTCACTTTCACTCCTCATTCTCTTCACCATTTGTTTACCCTTTGTTAATCTTTTTGCTTCATTTTTCCACTCGCCTCTGATTCTAAGAATTTCACCGCGTAAAAGAAAATAATAGTTGTTTTACATTCAGTGGGAAACCTCCCAACCACAGGATTTTTTTCTTTTTGAGCTTAATGAGGTATGCTAGACCTGTGCGTATATCTTTTTTTTAATTATCATTTTCAACGTCACAGTAGTTTTGATTCTCTTTTGGGAATAACGGCAGGTGTGATTGCAGATAAGGCTAGACGAGACACAGATAAGGATGGACTCGAAGACCTATGGCTGTTTTGTCAACGGAAGATTAAAAAATTGAGACTATATATTAAGGAACATTACTTCTTTGTGTGTTGTTTTTGTATTATATTATAATTTAGAATATTCGGTATTTTTTATTCCTATACTAATAATTGATATCGGATTGATATTTTGAGTTAAAGAACATTTTTGTCATTTTTATTTGACACCGAAAGCAAAACAAACATGCAAAAGAACGAAAGAAGGCTGTAGAAAAAATAAAATAACTTCAACTTCTCAAATTCTCATGTTAGGAATCACAACTTCCCTCATAGATCGAAACTTCTTTTGGGTCCAAAGTTTTAATTCTACGGCAAAAGTAAATGGGAATTGATATACAAAAAAAAAAAAAAAGTTGCCCCCTGTTGTTATTCTCGTTGTGTAACCAGACCCAACCCACGGGCATGGGGTTATCCCGTCGCTATCTGTGGCTAATGGAACCGTGGCTTTCTCTTACATTAAAACTGACGAAGTTTTAAGAAAGAAAGAAAATTTCTCTAACATTTAGTTTACTCAATTCAACCTCAAGTAATGTCATTACTCTACCCTTCTCTGCACTGCACTGCATCTCTACCTCTACCTCTTCCCTGTCCTTTGCTTTCCTACCCTACTCTACTCTACCCTACCCTTCCCTTCCCTTCCCTCCCCTTCCTTTCCCAACCCTACCCTACTCTACCGTTCCCTTCCCATCCCTTCCCTTCCTTCCTTACCTTAACCCTACCTTACCCTACCCTACCCTACCCCCTACCCTACCCTACCCTACCTTACCCTTCCCTACTCTAGCTTACCCTACTCTGCCTTAACTTACCTTATCCTATCACACCATATCCTTACTTTAATCTGTCCTGTCCTGGTCTTTCCTGCCCTACCCTGCCCTACCTGAAGCGACCCTAACCCACTGCGCCCTACCCTGTCATGCCCTACCCAACTCAACGCTATACTATCCTATCCTACCCTACCCCTACCCTACCCTACCCTACCCTACCCTACCCTACCCTACTACCCTTTACCCTACCCTACCTTACTCACCCCAGCTAAGCCCTATCCAACCCACCTCACCTTAACCTAACCCAACCTTCTCACCCCACCCCGCCCCAACCTACCCCAACCCCAAACCCAACCCCAACCCCAAAGATAAGCAGCTCACCCCCCTGTTCTCGCCCTTCCCCCGCCAGAGCGTGGTCCCGTGGCCCTCCCCGAGAGCGGAAACCTGTGCGAGGAGGCCCTGGGGGTGGCCGTGGTCCCCCGTCGCCTCCTGCACCGCCACCTGCCGCTGCACAGCCTCTGCCTGCTGCGCTACCTCACGGCCTTCATCCACCAGCTGCGCACCAGCAACCATAACACGTGAGTAGAGAGGGGGAGGTGGATGAGTGGGTGAGTGGAGGAGTGGGTAGGGGAGAGGGGGAGGTGGATGAGTGAGTGAATGGCGGGGGGGGGGTGTAAGTGAGTGAAAGGGGGAGGGGGGTGGGAGTGGGGGGAGGTGGATGAGTGAGTGAGTGAATGGGGGAGGGGGTTGGGAGTGAGGGGGGAAGTGGATGAGTGAGTGAATGGGGGGATGAGTGAGTGAGGGAATGGGTGAGGGGGTTGGGAGTGAGGGTGGGAGGTGGATGAGTGAGTGAATAGGGAGATGAAAATGAATGGGGGATGGAATTGCGAGTGAGTGGGAGAGGTGGATGAGAAGTGAGTGCGGGGGTGGGGGTGGATGAGGAGTGAGTGAGGGAGGGGAATTGGGGATGAGTAGGGGAGATGGATGAGGAGTGAGTTGAGGAAAAGAGCGTGTGGGTTAGATGGATGAGGAATAGATGGGGGAGAGTAGTTGTGGGTGAGAGGGGGAGGAAATAAGTAGGGGGAAGGAGGTGTGTGTGAGAACGAGAGGAAGGAGGGGAGAAGGGAGAGGAAAAAGAAGAGAATAGAGTCATTTCGCCCGCCACCTGTACGCCAGCAATCTTAGTATATGTTGGTGAATTTAGTGATAAATGATTTGATGTTGATCATGATGATGATGATGATGATGTTGATGTTGGTGATGAGGATGATGTTGATGATGTGATGTTGATGTGGTGATGATGATGGTGATGTAGAATGGTGATGATTGAGAGTCTGCCGAGAGAGAGAGAGAGAGAAGAAGAGAGAGAGAGAGAGAGAGAGAGAGAGAGAGAGAGAGAGAGAGAGAGAAGAGAGAGAAGAGAGAGAGAGAGAGAGAGAGAGAGAGAGAGAGAGAGATAAAGAGAAAAAATGAAAATAAAGAAGAGATAGATAGAGAGAGAGTGTAGAAAAGAGGAAAGAAATAAAGAAAGAAAGAGATAAGAGAGAAAAAGAGAGAGTAGACAAAGAACAAAGAAAGCGAGCGCCAAAGGGAAAGAGCGGGAGGCGCCCCCGACCGCCTTCAGAATTCCGCGGCGAGGGCCAGCTGATTCATCGCATCCCCGGGAGACACGCGGTGATTCAAGGATCTGGCTTGCTCAATCTCGCGGGCGTGGGAACCGCCCACGAGCCTCGCGTGGGGGTAGTTGTGCGGGCGAGGGGAGGGGAAGGGGGAGGGTGGGGGTGTGGGGGTGGGCAGAGGGAGAGTGTGTATATATTTTGGGGTGTGTTCGAGGGACGGGGTGGGAAGGGATGGGGGGAGGGGCTGTTTGTGTGTGAGTGAGGAGGAGGTGTGTTTAAGGGGGAGGGGCGGGGGGTATAAGTGTATGTGTTGGAGAGAATGTGTGGTTTATGTCCGTAGGCGTAAATGGCTTATCTCTTCTTCGTGAATGTTTCCGTGTGTTATTGTATTTTAGGTGAAAAAGAAATTCTTTAGTAAATATCTTTAATTAACCCGATTTTTTTCCTTTTTTCCTTTTTTTCATAAACTTTATAATGATGCTCCCTCTTATCTCTCTTCCTTCTTATCGTTTTTGTGTGGATTCTGAATTCTTGGAGAAAGTCATTCGCTTTAAGAAGTGTTTGGCCGGTAGTTCACCCTTTCTTCTTTGGGGAAGGGGAAGAGGGGGAGGAAAAGGGGAGGGGGAAAGGGGGGTAAAAGGGGGAGAGGAAGGGAGGGGGGTGGAATGAGAAAAGGGGGGAGAAAGGTAAGTGAAAAGGGAGAAGACAAGGGGAAGGGAAGGGTTAAAGCCTAAGGGAGAGTAGAAAGAGAAGGAAGGGAAGGGAAAGGGGAATTAGAGTAGGAGAGGAGAGTCGACTATACAGGTAGCAGAGAGGAAAGAGGAGGAAGAAGAAGAGAAAGGAGAGAGAGAAGGAGATGGGGAGGGAGGGGGAGAGGCAGAGGTGCGGGGGAGGTACAAAAGGCTCTGAGAAGGGAGACGGGGAGGGAGGGGTAGAGAGGAGGGAGGGGCAAGCTCTGAGGAGGGAGAGGAGAGGGAGGTGGAGAGGGAGAGGGGAGGTAGGGGTGCAGGGAAAGGGGGGAGGGAGGCGAGGCAGAGAGAATGGAGAGAGGAATGAGATAGGAAAGTGGGAAAGAAAGAGAAGAAAAAAAGAAAGAAGCGAGCAGAGAGAGAGAGAGAGAGAGAGAGAGAGAGAGAGAGAGAGAGAGAGAGAGAGAGAGAGAGAGAGAGAGAGAGAGAGTGAGAGAGAAGAGAGAGAGAGGAAGAGAGAGAGAGAGAGAGAGAGAGAGAGAGAGAGAGAGTGAAGTGAGTGAGTGAGTGAGTGAGTGAGTGAGTGAGTGAGTGAGTTAGGTAAGGCGTCTTACATTAGGTCAAGGGCCGCTATACACACAGACCTCCTCCTCCAGACGCTGTTCAAGGAGAAAAGAGTTTCAAGGCTGAGTCTAGGAGGTCGACCTTCTAAGAGGAGGATGACTTGTGTTGCCCTGAGATGTCTGTTATTGTTATTTTGATGGGATGTTCATTATTTTTTATTTTTTTATCTAATATAATATTGGTATGATTGTGATTATTCCTTATTCGTGTTGTTGTTGTTATTATTATAATAATTATTATTATGATTATTGTTATTATTGTTATCATTAGCATTCTCATCATTATTATCATGATTGTTATCATCATCGTCATCATTACTACTACTACTACTGCAACTATTATTATTACTGTTACTATTAGCATTAACAGTATTATCATTATTATTATTATTGTTGTTATTGTTGATATTATTAGCTGTTATTCATGTTATTATTATTATATTGTTGTTCGTAGAATAATAAGAAAAAAGATCCGCTCTTGTAAATAAAATTGTGATCTGTCGTTCGTTCAGATTTGTAAATATTTGAAAAACAGAATCGGGTTAAGACCTTACAAGTGAGAGATTGCGGAGGAGCCACGTGAGTTGGGGGGGGGGGGGGGAGAAGGGCGAGGGGAAGGGGGAGGGGCAGAGAGTTCATTGGAGATTTTTAGATGCGATAGGGAGAGGGTGGAGGGGGAAAGGGGAGGGGTAAGGGGAGGGAGGGAGGGAAGGGGTGAGAAGAAGAGAGGGGGGAAGGGGTAAGGGGAGGGAGAGGAGGAGGAGGGGGTAGGGGGAAGGAGTGGGAGATGGGAGAGGGGTGAAGGGTAAGGGGAGGGAGAGGAAGGGAGGGGTAAGGGGGGAGAGGAGGGAAAGGGAGGGTAAGGGAGGGAGAGGGGAAAGGGAGGGTTATGAGAGAGAGTGGAGTAGGATGAGGTAGTCGGGAAGGAGAAGGAGAGGGGTGAGGGGAGGGAGAGGGTAAGAGGAGAAAAAGGAAAGGGAGAAGCAAAGGAAAGATATAGAGAGAGAGAGAGAGAGAGAGAGAGAGAGAGGGGAGAGGGAGGAGGGAGAGGGAGAGGGAGAGGGAGAGGGAGAGGAGAGGGAGAGGGAGAGGGAGAGGGAGAGGGAAGAGGAGAGGGAGAGGAGAGGGAGAGGGAGAGGGAGAGGGAGAGGGAGAGAGAGAGAGAGAGAGGAGAGAGAGAGAGAGAGAGAGAGAGAGAGAGAGAGAGAGAGAGAGAAGAGAGAGAGAGAGAGAGAGAGAGAGAGAGAGAGAGAGAGAGAGAGAGAGAGAGAGAGAGAGAGAGAGAGAGAGAGAGAGAGAGTTATACTAACAGAAAGAGATAATAGTTATAATGTTGATTAAGGTTAGTAATTATCTCGATTATCATAACGATAGTTATTACACATTATTAAGATGAAGATTATGATGATAATATTGATAATGATAATAAAGATGATGATAATGAAACTGATGATGATGATAGTAATATTGATGATAATATTAATAATATGTAGTACCAATGATAAAAGATTCCGGTATGAATGATGAAAGACAAGAATTTTATATTCTTAGTAAGAGTCACATGACTTTAGAAATTCCTATAGAAGAGAGTCCCTTTGTTACCGAAGATAAAGAGTTTTTTGTTTCTTTCCAGTATTTGTATTTTTTTTCTTTTCTTTTCTTGTCTTTATCGCATATGTAGTTTTGTCATCTTTATTTTTTTTTATCGCATATACAGTTTTGTTATATTTATTACGTTTTTCTTTTTTATCGCATATATAGTTTTGTCATCTTTATTTTTTTTATCACATATAAAGTTTTGTCATCTTTATTTTTTTAAAATTTTTATCGCATATATAGTTTTGCCATCTTTATTGACTTTTTTATCACTTATATAGTTTTGTCATATTTATCTTTTTTTCTTTTTTCATCGCATATATAGTTTTGTCATCTTTTTTTTTCTTTTATGTAGCATATATAGTTTTGTCATCTTTATCTTTTTTTTCCTTTTTTCGGTACCATGACATTTTTTTCAGATACACTTAAGAGTTCCATGACGATGAGACTGAAGCTTGAATGCGTTGGGCGTAGATGGGCGGCTGGGCTGGCAGACACGCACGGGAGCTTAGACGCAGGAGCACCCACACGCAAGCACAGACGCACGCAGACTCAGGGACACGCACACACATGCACACACACACATCTACACACACACATACAAACACACACATCCACACACACACATACAAACACACACATCCGCACACGCATACATCCACACATCCACACACACACACAGACGAGCACTATATACATACAGAAATAAAGTGTTATACTCTATTTACTGTACAGTACAGTGTTTTACTCTTTTTTGTACTCATTTTTTCTTTGTACATATGTATATTTTTATGTTTGTGTGTATGTGTAACCCCCCCCCCTCTTTCCTCATTTCGTTAGAAGAACACGCTCTGACTTGTTTCTGTGACTCACGAAGCCTGACCAAAGTCACTCAGGATCGTATTGCAATCCGGTTTAGACATCCGCCTGTGCGTTTGTTTGTTTTTGTTTCGGCTGCGTTTGTCTTGCGTGTAGGTTGACATGGGTGTGGGGATGTATGTGTAGATGTGTGTGTGTGTGTTTAGATCTGTATGTTTATAGGGTAATTATGATCGTCTGTGTGTGTATTCAAGATGATTCCATCATCACCATCACTAGCATCACCATCACCACCGCCACCACCATCACCATCACCACCATCACCATCACCACCATCACCATCACCACCATCACCATCACCACCACCGCTATCACCATCACCATCACCATCACCACCATCCTCTCTTACGCAACACCCGACCCACCCGGCAACTCGCGTCCAGCTGACCTCTAGCGCCTCTCCCTCCTCCTCCTCCTGCCGCAGATGCCCCGTGCCCGTGTCCGCGCTGAGCAGGGTCCTGGCGCGCGTGATGGTTGCTGCCGGCGACGACAACGGCGGCCGAGGCGACGACGACGACGACGACCGCCGCCCGCAGGAGTCGCAGCCCCGCCTCGCCAACCGCCTGGGGGAGATCCTCATCCTGTGCTACAACGACATCTTCCAGAACACCGACGACGACGGGGATGATCTCAGGTGGGTGCACGGGGGTAGGGGTGTGAGGGGAGTATGGGGTATGTGGGGTTTCAGTGCGGGGAGGGGAGTGGGCAGGGGGTTTAAGTTTTTTTTTACTGTCTGTCTGTCTCTGCCTCTCTCTTTCTCTTTCTCTTTCTCTCTCTCTCTCTCTCTCTCTCTCTCTCTCTCTCTCTCTCTCTCTCTCTCTCTCTTCTCTCTCTCTCTCTCTCTCTCTCTCTCTCTCTCTCTCTCTCTCTCTCTCTCTCTCTCTGCACTTAATCAATCACTCATTCTCACTTCCCTCCCCGTCTCTCTCCTCCCCTTCCTTCCCTTCATTCTCACCAGTTTCTTTTCCCTCTTTTTTATGATCCCCCTCCCCCCGTCCTTTTACTCGCGCCTTGTGTTTTATGGAAAATATTTACCTCTAGAAGGGAAGTCGACGTTCCACTTCAGTTCATAAGCCTTATTTCTTCACATTTTGTTCACATGATATTGGCGTCCACACACATACATTCTGTGAACGCTCTCTTGGCGTGCACTTCATATACGAGTGTCACAGTTTCAGCCTTGAGGAGGAGGTGAGGAAGTGTATCATGTATCTTGCTTCTCAGCTTTCTCCTCCTCCTCCTCCTTCCTTCCTTCCTTCCTTCCTTCCTTCCTTCCTTCCTTCCTTCTTCTTTCTTTTCTTTCTTCTTTACTTCCTTCCTTCCTTCCTTCCTTCCTTCCTTCCTTTTGCCTTTCTTTCTTTTTTCTTCGTTCTTGCCTTCATGCATTATTTCCATCCTTCTTTTGTCCCTCCTCTCCTTCCTTCTACCCCATGTTCCTTCGTCCATTCCTCCTGAAACCCTCCCTCTCCTCCTCCTTCCATAATCCATCTTCCTTATCGACATCCAAGCCTGCATTATATCCTCATCCTTATTTTCTTCTCCCTCCCCCTATGTGCACAGAGGCAGGGTGAGGAGGTCCGTCTCCTCCTGCGCCTCTTCCTTTTCTATTTCCTCGTCGGTTCTTCCTTCTCTAGTTCCTTGGGATCCTCCTCTGTTTCCCCCTATCTTCTTAATTCCATTTTTTTCTCATAAGCTCTTCACTCTCTTTCTACTCTTCGTTCTGTTTGCTTCTGCTCTCTTTATCTGGTTAATCTTTATCTTCTTTCAGTTCCTCCTCCTCCTTTCCCCTCTTTGATTCCTCGAGTTCTCCCCCTCCTTTCCGCTCTCCCCTTCCTCCAGTTCCTCCCCTTCTTCCTCCTCTAATTCTTCCAGTCCCCCACCCGCAGCCTCCTGACGTGGCCCCTCTCTCCCCGCAGTGACAGCGTGAGCAGCCCGAGCAGCGTCGGCGAGTGCGTTGGCGACGGCGACGAGGACGACGACGACGAGGGCGACACGACCACCACGGACACGGACGACTTCCGCTCGCCGCCCGTGTCCCCGCAGAAGACGGCGCGTCCCAGGGGCACCGCGACCTCCGTGGTACGACCTCCGCCCCTGAGCCTCCACCAGCCACCCATGTCGCCAAG